TGTGCCTGGAAAGGCCCAGAGCAAGGCCCAAGGGCAGAGAGGAGAGAGGCCCCAGGGATGAACGGTCAGGGCACAAACCACTTCCAGAACATAACAGAATGCAGGGTAATTTAAATAACAAAAAGGGATCCCAACCATGGCCAGTGGAGGAAGAGGCAGAAATGTTGTTTGACTGAGGGATGTCCAAGCTGATTCCCACACAGTCACCTGCAGCCTCTGCACTCCAAACCCTCAACACCTTGCACAGGGAAGTATATGTGATGACTGAGTATGAAACCAAGTTCTTCTGGTGCTCATTCAGAGTTGCAGACCATAGCTGTTCTGGGACACACCACCCAGGAGAACTCTCCCACTGCAGCTCCCACACAGCCTTCCTGCTGCTCTCCCAGACTGCACTGGACTACTTACACACCCAGCCATGACCCTAATCTCAGAGATCATTTCCAATTAGGGCTTCAGAAAACAAGATCAGACTGCCATCCTCCTCTGGTACTGCCAGCAACCAGGTCCCTCAGTGAGTGTCCCTCCAAAACCACCCACCTTCCCGTGTCTCCATGTTTTAGAAAGCAATAGGAAAAGCACTTGGTCTGCAGGGAGCACATACCTACCACCTACATCAGGAAGAGCAACAAGGCTCAAGGGAAGAAGTCCTTGCAATGGGACAGCTCTTTAGAGGATGTTGTGCCAGCATCTTTAAGCTTTTACAGCTCCTTACAGCAAGCATTAATGAGAGCTCCAGCTCCACCCAGCTGCAGGGAGTGCGTGTCTGCACGTACTGGGTGGGCACCACCTCACAAAGAACGGCCAACATCTGCTCCCTGGGCACTTCAGCAGAGAACATCCACGGCAGGCAGGACCAGGTACACCCATGGGAAACAGCACTGCCAGGGATGCACCTGCTTTTGCAGATAATTGCAGATGTGCCCTTGGTCAGCACTGGGGCTGGTGTCCAGGGCTGCTGGGCACCCTCACCCCAACGCCAAGATGTGTCAGGTCTCCTGTCCTTAGGATCTGTAGCACCCAGACTGCTCTAAACACCTCCACCCATTCCCACACCAGAGACTCCCCGCAAGCAGGAGACACTTCACCATGCCGGCCTGTCCTCCCCCCTCTGCTCAACCATTCATGCCTGGAGCCACAATCTCACTTGGTTGCAGTCTCCCAGACTGTTTGCCTTCACTCCCTCCCTGGATTGTCTCGTAGCCTTCACACCTCCCTCCTCTGCTGCCACCACGTCTGCTCTCCTCCTCAGTTCCTGCTATTGACAATGGCAGCTCCCAGCTCGGGGCCGGGGGAGATGCAGCCCCTGGGAAAACAGCATTGGGTAGGCATTTCTACACAGTACAAGTGAATTTTCTATCCTCAGTTATCTTTCATAGCCATATCTTTCTTGGGCATATGAAGAGGCATATCATGCCCCTTCAAACAGCCCACAGGCCCCTAGGGATGAAAGCCACTGACCTAAGAGAAAAACCACAGCCCACAGACTTCTTTGCCCTCCTGCAGGCCCAAAGCATTTCATCTGTCCCCTTGAGGTCTTAAGTGCCTCAAGTCCCCTTGAGGGCTTAATGTGGTTATTTCTGCCTCTGAAGCCTGTGCTTCCTCTTCTCACTCTGGCCCAGCCTGGACCATGCACCCCATAATGCTCACTCTCATTTCCAGCACACCCAATAAAGGCACGGTGCCCACTTCTTCTGCAAAGCCTTCCTGCCCAGGCAGAGCAAGCAATACCTCAGGTGCCTAAGGGACTTTCCTTGAGACATGGTCACCTATCAAAATGTAACTGAAACCTTTTACACCCCTTTTAAATCCCCTGGCATAACACTGTGCACAAAACACTCCACTCCAGCCCCTGCAGCAGAGCAATGACAACCACCCTGCCACACACTGCATCCCCCAGAGGCTCCACTCTCCAAACAGCCATAGGTATCATAGGCAAAAAAAAAGCTCATGCAAAGGTTTGGTGGTCCCAGGGCACATATAAGGGTTCTGACTACCTTCACAACACCAGGCAGTACAATGGTGTTGTGAGGAGCCATGACTGCAGCTGGCATACAGAGGGAGGGCTGCAAAGCTGCTTTCCCAGCACGAACAAATTGACCCCAACCAAGAATGTACATCCAAAGCCTGGTAACCACAACAGGGCTTCACCAGGCACAGGGACAGTCAGGCACTGCTCTGAGCCCCAGCAGGGTGCACCTTCCTTGCCAGCATCCCTGGCCCTCTGAATACACCAACACACGTGTTTTCTTGGCCTCGGTGCAGGCTGTGCTCGTGTGGCTGACAAAGAGCCTCTCTCCATTCTTTTGGGATTACGTGGTTCAGTAGTGCCCTGGTTTCCACAAACAGCCAGCAGGAATGAGGAGCCAGCTCCCCAAGCACCAGCTGGGAGCTGTGGTGCACCTTCCTGCAGCCCCAGCCCTGCAGCGGGGCTGTCAGTGCTGCTGCTCCCCCAGGTACCCACACAGCTTCTTCCCAGGCAGAGTGAGTGGGAAAACTTCTGTGCACTCTGATCTGCAGCTCGTCGCCGGCAGCTTCCCCTTGAGGGCTTAATGTGGTTATTTCTACCCCTGATGCCTGTAATTAAATGAACATTTCCTTATGGCAGCGAGGCGGCCAAGGAAAAACTGACTACAGGGAATTTTCATTCATCCTGATCTATACTCCCTCATCTCTGCCTTGTTCACACAATGCTAACAAGACATCTTCTAAGCAGGCAGAAAGAAAAAAAAAGCCCTTAAACAGCCCACATGCAGACAGCCACCTGGGGAGACAAAAAGAGGAAGGAGACCAACTCCCTCCTTCTCCCCCTGCATCATTTTTACACTTGCAAAACCAAAGGGGCTCAGATACCCTAGAGCCTGGAGAGATGTTTGCAAACTGTGCCAACAGACTTGTGCTGCCTAGCAGTCTGATGGGACCCTGATGAGGGACATGTCCCATTTCAGCACATCCTGCAGGTCTGTGGAGGCTCCCAGCTCAGGGAAATGTGGGGAACTGCACACAGTCAATCCAGCTCCCTCTCAGATATTAACTGTTCCTGTCCTGTGGGACTGGAGAAGTGAGGCCAGGGTGCACTGAATTGTTGCAGATTGGAACTGATCCTGAACCACCAAGCAAAGCTACTACCCAGAACAGAGCCTGAGCTACAAATTCCCAGCAGTCTGCATCTCCACTCCTGACCTCCCATCTGGGTAGGAGCCCACTGGTCTGGGGAAACCTGGCCAGCCAAGTCCAGCCCCACAGTACTGCCACAGCCCACCAGGATTGCAAATTTCACTGGATTAGGAACTGAGCTGTCCCTGGGAGCTGCTCCTCACCTCCCATCCCTGTGCCTCTCCTGCTAGGACAGCAGGGAGGATCACAGGGAAAGCCAAGCACCCAAACCCTCTGTGTCACCACCAGCTGGACAACACCACTAGAAAGTTTCCAGCAGCCTTAGCAGAATAAGAAGCATTTCCTCCCCTCAGCACAGAAGTACCAGTGGTGGTCCTTTTGGCTGCCACATTTTAAAACCACCATGAGGTCCCTCTCCTTCCTGTGCAGAGCAAACATAGCTTTCCAGCTATGGGGATGGGGTCAACCCTTGCTGGCAGATTGGCAGGGTGGGATTGTGGCAGCTCCCCCCTCACATCTTACACTCTTCTCTGGAGGAGGCAGAGGCTTGGCTGAATCTGGGGACAGGGTTTCCTGCTGAGACATGGCTGAAGAACCTTTGCCAGCTGTGCCCAAGGTATTCCCTCAGTGTGGACAATCTGCCTGGAGGAAACCACAGAATTGGCTCCCTCCTCAGCTCCAGAAAGAATTATTGCTTCTGTGCCACAGAGTATTGGCACAAAACCCCAACAGGTTTTCGGATCCATTTTGCTCTTTAAGCTCACTATTGTTTGCAAACCTAAAAGGCTTTATCTCTTCTCTTTCAGGAGCCTCAGATGACAGAGACTAACAGCCCATAGACAGAGCAGCTCTACAGATGACACATTCCCCCAGGAACATTTTCAGGAGATTTGGGTAATAAAGGAGATGTGCCAGGGGACTGGATGTCACTGTATCACAGCTTGGTCGTGCTGGAAGACAGTGACTGGTTGGTAAGTCAGCCCTTCCTTCCCTGTCAGAATGACTCAAGACAAAGACTCCCCCACACTTCAAATGTCCCCGTTCAGAACTCCTGTTCCACACTAACCAGATTTCTGTACAAAGGGATGGATTAGGGAGGAAGAGGACAATCTCAGCCTCATCGGTCTTTGGGGGATCCCTTTGTTGGGAAATTTCCCCAGACTATTTAAAAATAGAAGCAGATCATTCATAACTATTCCGAGTATAATTATTCCTGCACTTAACTGCCTTTTCCTGGCACCCTACCTCTCCTCCAAATTTCAAGAGGAGGCTCTTGGGGAATCGTGCAGCAATTCGCGGTGGCCCGTTCTTTGTATCAGTTTCACGGTAGTTCGCAAAATCACCACGACGCCAGACGAAGCCAGCGACACCCGAGCGGGCGGTGCGGGGCAGCGCTGCCGCAGCCGAGACCGCCCGGGCCGGGCCGTACCGGGACCGCCCGGTGCCCGCGGCTCCGTGCGGGTGCCCCACTCCGGGGCGGGAGAGCCGGGAGGGCAGCCCACGTGCAGCCAGCCCGCCGTGCCGGGAGCGCAGGGGGTCCCGGGGCGGACAGCGCTGCCCCACAGGGCTCCGATGCCCGGGTAGGGGGCAGTGCCAGGCATACAGGGAGAGCTCCGGGGTGGGAGATGGGAGCCGCCGCAAGTCCCGGTACCCGGGTCAGTGGTGCCTGCGGGGAACGGCGTGGTGATGGAGACCAGCCCGCCGCAGAGGTCCCGGCGCCCCGGGGCACTGGAGCCGCGGCGCAACGCTGTTTCCCGGGATGGGGGTGAGCAGAGTCGCCTCCCCCCGGGGGTCCCGGTGCCCGCGGAGGGGATGGACACCCACCCGCCGCCCAGCCCGCAAGGGATGGCAGCGGCTCCCGCCGCCCAACCCCACTCACTCACCGGCGGCCAGAAGCAGCAGCAGCAGCAACGCCAGGGCCCGGTGCAAGGGCTGCATGGCGGCAGCCGCTGCCCTGCCGCACCGCCTCTTCACGGGGAGCGGGGCCGCCCCGCCGCCCGCCGGGCTCTGCCCCTCGCCGCCGCGCCCGCCCGCCGCCCGGCCGCGCTCCGCATCCCGCCGCCCGGCGCCGCCTCCTCCCGTCCTCCCGCCGCCCGGCGCCGCTCCGGGGGCGGGGAGCCGCCAGGGGGGTCCGCACTGCCCGCCGAGCGGCGGCCCGGGGGCGGAGCGCTGCCCTCCGTTCGCTCCTAATTCCTGCCTGCGGAGCCGCCGCCCACCCGGCCGGCGCCCCCGGCCGCGGTCCCCACACGCCGGCCCCGGTGCCCACAACGAGTGCCGGCGGCGCGGCTGCTTGCGCCGGGCGAGGGTGATCAGCCCCCGGGAGGGCAGCGGGGATGCGCCGGAACCCGCCCGGCAGCACGGACAGAGCCCCGGAGAGCAGAGCCCCGGCAGCCGCAACTCCGGGGCAGCGACGGCCCCCAAAGCAGAGACCCTCCGCATCGCCCGCTGACCTCTCTTTAGCTGTCCACGGGTAACGGAGCCACCGCTTCTCCCTCACCCCTCAGTTCCCACCTACTTCATCACCTAGAAGAACTTCTCCCCCTGGGCAAATTCGTTCCTCCTCTGGAGGCCATCTGGTCCGAGCCCCTGGTCAGGTGGGTCACCTAAGGCAGTTTCCTAGGACCATGACCAGATGGGTTTTGAGTATCCCCGAAGTTGGAGACCCCACACCTTCTCTGGGCAACTTGTGCCACTGCTCAACATCACAGTAATATTCTGATCTAATAAATAACACGCCCCAGAATATTCTGGTGTGTGAGATTGTTCCTCCCCAGGTGCATCCCTTTGAAACCTTGCTGGACTGCAGGAGGTTCCTTTCAGCCCATTTCTCCAGCCTGTCGAGGTCCCTCTGGATGGAAGCTTGACTCTCTGGTTTATCAGCCAAATAAAGATATGCAGATCTGGAGCTCTTCCCAGTTTTAAGTTGGGATCCTGAACTCCACCATCTCGTGGTCACTGCAGCCAAGGCTGCCTTTGACCTTCACAGCCCCAATGAGCCTCTCATTGCTGCTTAGAATGAGATCCAGCAGAAAATCTCTTCTTGTCTTTTATCACTCACTGCATCCTGAGGCTTGGGGTGTTGGCATCTGTTTCTGAAGCTGGGTCTGTGTTGGAGGCTCTGCCCTAGCAGGGACAGCTGCTTTGACACCTGCTGGGAAAACCATTCCATGGTGTGTCACCACCATACCCAAGACTGTCACATTGATACTAATTCAGCTGACGTCCCCTCTTTGATGCCCTTCTGTGCAAACTGCTGTGTGCTCTATTAAAATTAAAAAAAAAATCTCTATTGCAGCAGTTCTTGGGTTTGTAGCTCTTGGAGCAGTTGTGGTGGATAGCACAGCAGAGGAACATGCTGAATATCCTGCCGAAAATCATTATTACAGCAACCAGACCAACTGCTCCAATTACACTAAATTTCAAATTAAACACATCTTTAGTGGCCTCAGGGCACAACGTTACAGTAAATGACTCAAGCAAGGGCTTTGTCGGACAGGTGTCCAAGAAACAAGGGTCGAGAGGTCCTGCATACCAGAGCAGTTGTGAGGGAACACATGCCAGCTCCCTGCACTTCAACCCCTCTTGCCAGCTGGATGAACTGCAGCCATCCCACTCCCCTCCTGCAGGCCTGCAGCCTGTGGCCCCTCAGAAAAGCTGTGCAACTCTTGGTTCAAGGCCACAAATATAACATGACTCCAAACCAAAGGACCCAAAAGCATCCTGGTCCCTTCTCACTGGGCACTCTGCTCATGATTTCAAGTTTTCCTCAGCAGTGGCTAGGAACCTTTCTCTTTAGTTTCAAAGCAGCTTTCACACATTCTAGGAGGGCAGGGGATGCTAAAATCCAACATTGCAAATTCCAACTGAGGAAACAGCTGTACTGTCATGGTCTCACCAAATGTCTTTGTGCTTGCAGGGCTTGTACCATGTGCCTGGTACTCTGCCTCTCCCACACAGCATGTCACTGAGACAGCAGGACATAGCTCTGAGGGTGATCAGGATTTTAAATTCAAGCATTCTTATCCCTTAAGGAATTGTTCATTAAAAACACCCCAGAGTCTTTATTTCCCTGTAAATAAATTTATTGTTTTGTTGTTGTTGTTTGAAGAGTGAATCTCCTGAAAGAAAAATTTATGGTATTTTTTTTTTCTGTCATGAACTTGCTGGTTTTCAACAACTAGAGAAAGGTGTCAATGTGCCATAACCTGCTGAACTCTGAATGAATCAAACAGCCACCTGAGGGTACTTGCTATTATTGATACTGACCTTAGCAGCTCCTAGCAGGCTTGCCCTGGCACATGTCACCCATCTGTGCAGTTGCCAGCCTCCTTTTGCCAGCTCTTTCTTTCCATCATCTGCTCCAGTGCTGCAACTTCCCCCAGCACCACCAGGGCAGGTAACAGACTGGCTGCACCCCTTCCCCAGCCTGGCAAGGAAAAGCCGACAGGCTTGGACTAAAGTTCTTGCTTTTAGCTTCTTTTAGACCACATCCATGCAGGGCTCTGAAAGTCCTTTTTATCCCAGAATCAATGCAGCCCCCAGCCCCCACCAAGCAGGAAATGCAGCAGGAACTACCGAGCTGTCGTTTACCCATTAGACGAGATAAAAACACTTTAGTGCACTGAGATTCTAGCCCAGGCATGGCATTTAATGAATGCTCTTGTCATTTTTCACTTTGTTGCTGGTAATTTGGCTGTCTTTGCATGCAGGTGGCTCACTACAAGTGGGTAACTAAAAGCCTTTCAGATCTCCTGACCCTGCCACATCCAGCTCCCAAATCTCAGAAGCTCATGGCGCTCCCTGGATTTATTTTGACATTATACATCAATCTCAGGCTGAGCAACAAAGGGGGAGTATGAAAGGAGAAGATACATCTTAGGCAAGAAAATTAAATAAAATTAGTGGCAACATCGATCAGCCAGGTCAGCGCTGCCAGTGGAGCAGAAAACAGCCAGCAGAGATGGGCAGCACCAGCTATCTTTAAACAGCAGCACCAACTTCCACTCAGCACAGCCCCTGCATCTCCATTTCACACTCCCTGCAATAGGTGCAGCTGGCTTGGCTCTCTTCTGAGGCATTGACAGCTTTATAGTCAAAGGCTTGTCATTTCTCATTTGATCTCCCTCCAGCCTCCCTACCTGGTGTATATTCTCATCCGATGTTCAGAGCACTGGTAAAAGAGGCTTTACAATCGCACTAAATGCTTTTTTTATAGCTGCTTCAAAGCTGTTCAGAAATTTTTCTTGGTATTACCATTATCTGTGCTTTTCTGTTCTTCCCCAAAATTGTTCAATTTCACAGTTACGTCTGTTAGGCAGAATCAGAAAGCAAGTGTGTATTTTAGGCTGGCAAAACTGAAAATCCTTCTGCTGTCTCCCCCTGTGAGTTACTGTAAAGGCTTTTGCCTTCAGGAAATTCAGCCAGCTTTCCCATTTCAGTGGAAGGGTCACATTTTGTTCCAAGATGCCTGCAAACAAATACTACAGAGGTAGAGGAATGAGGTGATAGCTAAGGGAAAGAATTTGGTGACTAAGGCTTGTCAATTAAAAAGAAACTAACCACAAATTCTAATCTCAGGGGAATTTAACTTATTTTGAAACTCCACATGAAAAAAAAAGCAGCAACTCATTAACTTGAAATATGCTGGTGAGATGTTTTATTGTCCTAAATACAGCAAAACTGAGTTCAGCTGCAAAGGTGAAAGTGATCTATTGCCTGTGCTCAGCAGAGCATAAAGTAAACAATAAGCAAAACAAATAAACAGTCAGATGTTAAGTTCTGGCAGTGTTACAAAATGCAAGATGTTACTAGCACCAAGGAAAGGGTTTAACCCTTCTTTCTTTGCCCACTGACATTTGTCAGGGCAACAAAAGGTGATCTGTGCCCATTCTTAGATCAGAAGGAAAAAATGGGCTGTTTCCATTACTTTGATTGCCTGCTCTTTGGGGCAGAGGCTGGGTGACACAGCAGGCTTGTGGCACACCATGCAATTTAACACAATCTTCTATACAGCCTTTTGGCATCTCATCCCTCCAGCAGAGGAAAATTCCCTGCCCTGTCCAGCCCCTCCTTCCTTAGACACAAGGAAAGATTTAACCTCTCCCTTTTTCCAGAATATGTGAATTTACTTCAGAGCCTCCGAAAAGCTTTGTATAAGCTCATTTGCTGACTTAGCCTTTTTAATTCTGGGACACCATGAAACCTTTTGACTGTACCAAGCAGGGGCGGGTACCTGCTCTATTCCTGCACTGCCCAGGCATGCAGCCATTCTCTGGGCAAAACACACAGGTCCTGCTCTCATCCAAAATCCTGCTGGGGAACATCTATAATAAACACTTCAAGAGGAGTGACTGGAGCAACTAATGCCTTCCAGAATAGGCTGTAATTAGAAGAGATTCTGCCCTGTTTAGAGCCCCAGCAAGATTTTCTCTATCAGTTTGGAACTTTCTTCATCTCTGCATCAGTTTGTTCCCCTTAAGGAACAGCACACTGCCCACCTGGGACACAGTGCTGCTGCCAGCCCGGCTTCTTTCTCATCCCTGGTGTCAAGTGCAGGGCAGAACAGGCACAAGTTGTGCTTTACTTCCCCATTTCCACGTGCCCCTGCTGCCTCCCACCCCTAAAGGTTCGTGTTTCTCTTCTCACTGAAGTGGAGCTGATTGCTGCATTAATAGCCACTCTGACAGCAAACCTCAGCGGATTCTTGGAGGGCAGAGCAAAGCAGAGCTCTACTGAATTTGATTAAGGGGCCAGAATAACCTTTAACAGAGTCACATGGGGCAAGGAGACAGACAGCTCTCCAGCTGAAATCTCACCCAGGTTTCCTCACAGCCCAGGGGACAGGGCTCCTCACCTGAGGGGAATGGCAGCCAGGTCACACTGCTCTGTCACAGCTGGCACAGCCCTCCATTTACACAAGTCAGGAAGGAGAAAGGAGTACATCTCTTTGGGGCCATTCACATCATCTAATCTGGACCTCTGTGCAGCTTAGAGAACCCCTTTATGTTGAGCTTA